GGCGCCCGCCGCCCGCTCCCGGGGGCCCCCGGCGCCCGCCGCCCCCGCCGCCCCTGCGGCCGGCTGCGGCGGCTTGTCGCGCGGGGCCAGCTCCGCCGCGCGCTTGCCCTTGCCCTTGCCGGGCCCCGGGCTCGCGTCGCCCGCGCCCCCGGGGGGGTGCTGCTGGGGCTGCTTGTGGCCGCCGCTCTTGGCGCCGCCCTTGCCGCGCAGCGACGCGCTCTGCTGGCCGCCGCCGCCGCGGTGGTTGTGGTGGTGCTTGGGGTCCTCCGTGTCCCGGTTGTGCAGGCGGATGAGCCCGATTTTGCGGAGCAGCGTGGCCATTTTAGGCTCGGCGCCGGCGGGGGGCTCCCCTCGGCTCCTGCCCCCGGAGCCCGCGAGCCGGGGCGCGGGGGGCGCGGGGCGGCGGCGACGGAGGAGCACTCAGCGGGGCGCGGCGCGGGCCACCCCCGGCGCCGGCGGCCGTGGCGCAGCCGAGTGGGCAGCACGCGCGCTCGCCGGCCGCTGTGTCGCCGCTGTCATATGACGGGGCCCGCTCCGGCTCGGGCTCCGGCCGCCTGGCGAGGGCAGGCGTGCCGCGGACGCGGCGCGGCTGGCCGTCTCCCGGCCGGTCCCTGGGCGCAGCCCTCGGAGCCCGGTGTCCGCGGTCCTTTGTGCGCGGCCGCAGCGGGGCTGGCCTCGAGTCCGAGCACCGCGCCGGGGCGCGCAGAACCGCCCGCAGCGCCCCGGAGGCAGCGAGGTGGCCGCGGGCTCGCGCCGTGCGCCCCCGCCGTGCCGCGCTGGCGGCTACCGCGGGGCCCCAGCCGCTGCCTCTCGTGTCGCCGCCGCTGCGGCTGCTGACATTGCAGAGGCGGCTGCTCCGTCTGAGCTGAGCGCGGCGCGGAGGGGGCGGCCCTGCCGGCCGTGGCGGGGGGGGGGGCGCGGGGCGGAGCCGCGGGCTTGCCTGCGCCGTGCCGCCCCCGCCGCCCGCCCGCCGCCCGGCTCCCGCGGCGACGCGCCACGGCCGCTGGGGGGAGACAGTAGCGCGCGGCGGGCTGGCCGGGCGCCGGGTGCGGGGTAGCGGCTCGGGGCCGAGCGTTTCTCACAAGCTGGCGGAGGCCCGGGAGCCGCGGGAGAAGGGGCACGCGCGCGCACTGATGGGGGTCGCAGAGGCCAGGGTCCTTCGGCCCGGGATCCGGGCTCGCCATGGCCCCTGGCCCGAGCCTCCGACCTCGTTTAACCTCCTTAGAGAAATCCGGAGGGGGAAGGGGTGTCGGGAAAGGGTAGAAAGCAACCTGTTTATGGATTCCCTGGGACCAGATGGAGCCCAGTGTCCCACACAGCAGTCCTGGGCCGGCGGAAGCCCAAGACTAGGGGACAAGCAGCGGGGACGCTTTCATAAAGACCGATCGAGTAATCAGGGCCTGGCGGGGAGGATGATGGAAGCGTGCCCGCCGCAAAGCCCCTAACGAATAACCCTCTCAAGTCACAACTTTAAGGGGTGAACGTTATGCGAATTTACCCGCTCCAGCCCGGCTCCCCTCCTGCGCCACACGCCAGAGGGTCCCTGCGTTCAGAAAAGGGGAGGAGAGGCCCGCTGAGCATTGCCTTTTGGGTCTTTCCCAAAACTGCCGGGAAACAGGGAAATGCATCTAGCGCTGGCGCAGGCGAGTGCTCAGGGCACAGGGCTGGCCCCTCTGCGCCCCCCACCCCCACCCCCGGAGTCCCTGGCACCCGTGGCTAACCCTGGGATCCCCCGCGGAAGGGAAGGGTATCCTCCTCCAGCCTGGAGGCTTCCACCCCTCTTCTCCCTTTCAGCCTTTAACCCATTGAAACTTATTTTTATCTGGTGAAATTTCAAGCAAAAAGCTTGTTCAGTGCTCCAGAAGCTGGAACAACCCGAAGACCAGTGAAGCTCAGAGGTTTGCAGGAAGCGCGCTACGCCAATTTGCGCAATGGTGAGAGGCGTGTCCATCTCCTTGCAATACTGGAGAAATTACCCCATAAACCTCAATGGCTAAGAACTCTAAACTTCACTGCTGTCCCAGACTTGGCTTTCAACTTGGGAAGCCTCTGAGTTCATCAGCAGAGCGTGTTCATTCAGGTGCTACCATGTTTTGTTTTGTTTTGTTTTGTTTTTAAAGCCTCTTTATCATTTTCAGTTTTTCCAAATTATTAAATATTTTCGCGGCGAGAAATAACTCTTCAGGTCGCTGCGGAGACTAGCAGAGACCGAATGGTTCTGGAGCTCAGTTTTCTGGGGTTGCCTACAGGGAAAAAGAGGTGTTAGCCTAAACCTCACCAGCTTGGGGCAATGAGCTAGGCGCCTGCACCCTGAGGCAAGGTCCCCTGGAGAGAGGACTGTATACAAAGGCACGTATCCTGGAGGCTGTGTTCAGGTGGGCAGGACTCAGAGCAGTTCAGGGGTCCAGGCAGAACCAGTGGTGGTGACCTAGTTTCAGCTGAAACTGACTGAAGGTCTCCTTGTCCGGGTCTCATGGGCTTTTCTGGTGACCTCATTTTGTCCAGCTTTGTTTTGTGAGGATAGGTTGAGAAGGAAGATGATGATGTCTTGTCTGTAAAGTCCTGTGAGTTCATTTAATCTGCAAGAAGAGGGGTATGCGGTGGACGGTGACGTATGGGCAGGCATTACACGTTTTCTCATTTTATGGCCTCAGAAGCCCTCTCGAGTTTTGTCTGACCCATTGTACTGATGAAGAAACTGAGTTCCAAAGATGCTCAACAACTGGCCCAGCTCAGCCTTGTGCTGCGACTTACACCCTGGTCCCCTGCCTCCCAGCCTTGTAGTCTGGATTGACCAGCTGTCCCCGACAGCACAGTGCACAGCCAGGACGCTGGCTGGGTGGGGTATCAGCACCAGCCCCTGGCGGATGAGAAAACCCCCACCAGAATGGCTGTGACTGTCATTGCCACAGTCAGCTGAACTTGGGTGAGGAAGGCCTCAGGGAAACAGTTGTGGCAGCGACAGTGATCATTTCTACCTGCAGCAGGGAGGTCATCCAGTGTGATTTGGGAATGGTGTAGCCAAAATCCCAGGTAGCTATCATAAAACCCTTATATTTGAATGGGATTATTACTAGGGTGGTCACATAATTTATTATCTGAATGCAGATACTTTTTGAGAGTGAAATGCTGGCCAAAGCAGGACCGACCAACACCCAAGATGGTAGTCATCTTACTTAGTATCTATCCATCATACTTACAGCATCTCTGATCAGCTCTTGAAAGGGCAAAAGCCCAATGTTAGTGAAAAAAAAAAAAGGAAAAAAAACCCTAGATTTATAACAAGAGGGGAAGCGGTAAGTAAATTATACTTAATCCACTTGAGGGTGTATTACGCAGCAATAACATTATAGTTATGAGGATTATATAGCAAAATGAAAATATTTATGATCCACATAATAATTTTAAGTGAGAAAGCAGAGCAAAATTATATCCACCCTGTAGCTACAACAACATAAAACTATGCATAGGACAAAAGAGGAGTTGGAGAAAAATTTACATAGTAACAATTATGACGGACCCAAACATTTGCTTCAGAGTCAGCATGGTAGGGAGATGCAGGGGTGGGAGGAGGACCCGTATGGTTTGTAAACCTCCCTCATTCTTTTATCCCAGAAGATTCTAGAAAGTTCTACCTCTCAGCAATGTGTAGAAGTTACCATTTGTTGATATAGTTATTTTTTTACTTTGATTTTCAAATATTCCGAAAAGGAATATATTGCAGTTATAATGAAAAACTGTTAGCAAATTTAAAAATTAGCTTATTGAATAAGTTCACATTGAGACAGTTGAACTGAGAGCATTTAGTTAAATAAAATAATGTTTAAGGCAGTTGTTGGTCTCTTGCTTCTCTGTTCTCAAGCAGTGATGGGGTGGGGAAGGGGACGCTTTGGGAATGTCTGCAGAAAGAGCCTTTCCAACCTACCACGGAAGGGAGGGAGGAAAAGAAGCTGGTTGTCTTAGTCACTGATCCTCTGGGAATGGCCCTCTCCCTGCCAGTGACTCTCCCATGAGCATTTGAATCAATGGTCCTAGGGGCCAGCTTTCTCCAGTTGTGGTTTCTATAGAGAGATGATGAAGTGGGGTTTGCCCATTTATTCTTTGCCTCAGAAGACTACATCCCAGTTTGTCTATTTCTTCATGAGCTCCAATCTTGTCGTCACAAAGCCGTCAACCAGACCACCTCAAAATACCTGCTCCCAGCTCATACACACTGTTCATTCTCTCAAGCGAAGGTGTTAAGATTAGTATCAAAACTCAAAAACATTTCCTGCCAGAAGAGTTCGCTCCAAGGCAGCATAGTGTGGATCTCTGATGTCAGCAGGTCACACGGCAATTTATGCCATTCACTTAGGGATCACCAAAGCTGGCACTTAGATGCACTTGCCACACCTGAAGTGCCATCCCAAGCACTATATATATTCACTTAATTTTCACTAAGTCGGTACCTACTAAGTACGTGCTGTATTTGTCTCCACTTTATAGATGAGTAAATCGAGGCACAGAGACATTGAGGTCTCAGCCAATCTGATGGAACAGAGGAACTTTGGGTTAGAAGATAGCAGTCCAGTGAGGGTTTGTCTTGGGGAGGGAGGGAGTCACTTCAGAGGCAGTAACCACTCCTGGCGGGCTTCGGAGTCCTCAGGGTTGATAGTTCCCTCTACATGCTCGTACCCCAGCTAGAGCAGGAAGATCTCCCTTGGGACGGTTCAGCAGTATAATTCGGGTGTCATTCAGGCCGTGTAGCCTCCAAAACAAATTCCTGACCATCCTGGAGATTCTTCGAGTGACATCTTCTATACATTCCTTTTTGGTTGATAAACTCTATAGTTGGTAAGCAAGAACTCTGACTTCTCTAACTGGGATCTGAATGGGACTGCCCTGCTTGGAATGGTGTCCGCACAGAGCACATGTTCTGGGAGCGTCCCTCACCATACGCTCTCCCTCACTCCTATAGCTCGTGGGGCCCTCACACTGCTCTTAGTTTTCAAAGCTTTTCTTCAGGGACCAACCCAGCTCGCTGTTTTTCCATCCAAACCTAACTCAGGGTGGGACGTGGGTTTTCTGTCCTCACCAACTTGGATCAATTAGTAGAAGCTGCCCAGGGGTGCTGTGAGGGGGGCTAGCATCGGGCTTGGAGAACATGGTCATCAATTACGGTTGTCTGCCATGAGTGCAGGGCAGGCAGCCTTCCAAGTACCAGGCTGTCTGACTTACCATCAAGAATTCTGGAAGAGAACACCTTGGTTAAACGAATGCGTACGAAATTTTAAGTAATGCATGGTTCCCTAGGAGTATTTATAATTTAAGAGAGTGTGTCTTACATTAGTTAGAACATTCGTTAAGTTGCTTTAACAAGAAGTAACCCAGAGGCTCCAGTAGGAAGTTAGTTTCTCTGGTGTGTAACGGGACGGGGCAGTTAGCACACAGTTTTCTCAGTAGCTTCAGCTGCTGTCTTTTCCTGGTTCTGAAAATGACTGTCCTTAAATGTCCTGGAGGTTAGACACACCACCTTCACTCGCACCCCATGCCACACGTGCCCCAAGGGAGCCTGGGAAGTGCAGTCTTGCCCTGGGTAGCAGGTGCCAGCTTCCACTCACTAGAAGGAAACAGGGAGGTCTGGACTCTGGGAGTCACGTACCACGTGCATTCTCCTAGTAGAGTTTTTAAAGCTCAATTTAGGAGACTGGAACTGTGGGATGAAGGGTTTTGGAACATGTATGCAGGCAATCTTGATTTGGCATTTCCTCGGACCTGCACCTGAGCAATTCCCCACTCTGCCCTTCAGATTGGGACACAGTTTCTGTCAGTACAAATTAACACCATCTTGCAATTCCTTT